TGGTCAACATTAAACTGTTTCAAGAAGTAGCACATGTTCAGGAACCAATGGTACTCAAGGAAGTCCAAGCTGCACTGAAGGTATTAACCAAAAATAAGGCTATAGGAATTGATGGAATACTAATACAAATGTTTCAACAAACTGACAAAACAACAACTAGAAACATCCACTTGTCTATGGGGGAAAAATTGGAATAGAGTTATGAGGTGAAATAATAGGATATCCATATTTGTGCCCATAACAAAGAAAGAGGACCCAACAGAGTGTAGAAATTATTGAACAATATCATTAATATCCTATGCAAGTAAAATTTGGGGGAGGACCATTCAACAATTGTTGCAGCAGTACATCAGCAGAGCGATGCCAGAAAATTAAGCCAGATTCCTGAAAGGACATGAAATGAGGGATTTTGATGCTGATGTCACATAGATCTTGTCTGAAAGCAGGAAACACCTGAAAGATGGTTATTTGTGTTTTATTGACTATGCCAAGGCATTTGTGTGGGTCATAAAAATTATGGCTAATATAGAGAAGAATGGGAATTTCAGAATATTTATTTGTGATCAAAAACCATACTCACTGCCATCCAGTCTATGCTGACTCAGAGCAACCCAGTGGGTTTCCAAAATTGTAATGGCTTATGGGAGTCAGAAGCCCATTCTTTCTCTGGCAGAGCTGCTGGTAGTTTTAAACTACAGGCTATGTGGATCACACCCCAAGACGTGACCATTGCACCACCTCCTTTCACTGTGCTCATGGGGAACAAAATATGGGCCTAGAGGAAGTTGTTTTGTCAGAACCAGGGAACACTGCATGGTGTAAAATCATAAAACATACGTGTCAGGATTATATCCTATCACCATACTTATTCAATCGTATGCTGAGCAAATAATCCCAGAGCTGCAGTATATGAAGAACACACAACAGGATTGGAGGGAGGTTCATTAACAAGCGGTGAAACACAGCGTTTGGTTTGCTAAAAGCCAGGAGGACTTGAAGCAATCACTGTTAATCAAACTCTGCAGCCATAAGTATGGATCACAATTCAGTGTGAGAAAGCACAGAATCCCTGTAACTGGACCAAGAGCCAACATCATAGAAAATGGAAAAAAGATAAAAATTCTTAATGAGTTTATTTTACTTAGGTCCATAATCTTAGCAGCAGCAGCCAAGAAATCAAAAGTCGCAGTGCACTGAGCAGATCTGCTGCAAAGATGTTTTTAAAGTCTTCAAGAGTCAAGATAACCCCTGAAGGAGTAAGGTGATCCCAATCTAAGCTCTGGTGTTTTCAATGACCTCATATGCATGTAAATCTGAACAATGAATATGGAAGCC